CCCCAAAACCCCAAAACCCCAAAACCCCGTTTTGATTAATGGTTAAAATGGGTTAGTTAATGATAATAAATAGAAATTAAAGACATTAATTCAACTCATTTGATAGTCTCATAATTATTCACTAGATGAGAGGCTTCTTCAAACTTTTTATTAATTAAGACCCAGTGTTTGAGATTATTCTTTCCATATTAGTTTCTTATTCTAGTCTTGTAAACATAAGGGAAAATAAGTGGAATCTAACTAACAGATGTAGCATATAGAATTACATTGACATACTAATAGCCTGGCCTTAAATCACAAGGTACACTCTATGAAATGAGAATGTTAGTGACCTTTTTAAAATCAAATTCAGAATTAAATATCACTCTATTTATCTGCTTCTTTTTCCCCTCAACAAGCAATGACATATCAATAATTTCCAAATCTATTGGTTCCACTCCTAATGACTTTAATCTCTCTTTTTCCTTCATCATTAGTCCAACAGCCCATTCATATACTTTTTACACTATACCTTCTTCTTTTGCATCTGCTAATAATTGCTCTTTAGTGTTAATCAAACTTCCTTTGAGTGATTCTTGTGGCTTTTTTACTGGCTATATATCTTTTTACTCTTCTTTGGTAACTATTTCTTGATCTAATTTATTTTCTTAGCTATCTGAAGTTGATTCCATTATTCAATTGTATTTACTAATAATATTTACTTATAATTGTAAACTTTAATTATTTTGTGAGGTTTATCTAGAAAATGTTAAAATTCAAGGATTTTATCAAGTATGATGTATCGATATTAATTGTGTACTTGGCTTACTAGATTTATGCTTACTATAAGAGTTCAAATTTGGGAACTGGTAACACAGGAATGAATAGATTTATTTTATATGAGACTTTGTGTATAGCAACTTTCCAGATACTTTTAGTTATTGCAGCAATAAGATAGGAGAAAAGATGGATAATTGGTTTGAGATGTGGATAGATCATTATGTTCCTAGGCTAGCTCATAATGATGTTTACTTTTGGACTCATAGATTATTGGTTTATCATTATTTTCTACGGAGTTCAGATGTTTAACATATTCTTGCTTTTGGATTCAAAACATTTACAATAAAGGATAGATTTTCAAAGATTAAAAGTACCTCTCATTGTAAATGATTCTAATCTTGCAAGATAACCTACTTAAATATAAACTTAAGAAAGATCTGCAATATATGATAAGTTGAGTTAGCAAAGAGCAGCCTTCTTTGAGTAAAGTAGAAAGAGATTGGAGGAGAGAAAAAAGAAAGAAGACGAGGAGTAAAAATCATAATCTCAATATCAACAGATTCAATGAGCTATTGAAAGTTATATTTGATGTGAAGATCATTTATATATCTTAAATTTCTAATATTTTGTAAAAATTTTAATTTTTAACCAATGGGGTTTTGGGGTTTTGGGGTTTTGGGG